TGACTTGTCAGGAGTTGCAATTAGGACCAAATAACAAAGTGAGTGATAAAACACTAAAACCAAGGAACAGACTTCTGCAAAGTGTCATCCAGGGACCCTGAGGATCTTTGATACTCTTTAAAAGATCAGCAAGGTCATGTTCTCACTCCTAAGTGAACAATGAGAACACATGGACACAGGGAGGGGAACATCACACACTGGGCCTGTCACAGGGTGGGGGACAAGGGGAGAAAGACCATTAAGAAAAATACCTAAAGCATGCAGGGCTTAAAACCTAGATGATGGGTTGATAGGTGCGGCAAACCACCATGGCACATGTATACCTATGCAACAAACCTGCACATTCTGCACATGTATCCCAGAACCTAAAGTAAAATTGAAAATAAAAAAAAGGTTTGCAAGGTCAAAATCATTTTCAAAATTATACTAAGTCATTTTTGGCTCGTTCACTCTTGTTTTCTCACAAATGTATACTGGAGTTTTTCAGAGGCTACCTGAAGGATGAGAGGGACAGACTGAATGCAGAAGACATGAGAATACAGCTGTCTTCTTGTATACCAGACTCCCAAGAAGTTTGCAAAAACATAAAACAATGTCATTCATCTCGCTGAATTTTGTCTTAGAAAATAGGGAATTTTTCATAAAACAGTTTTTAACATGCAGTTTTATGTTATTTTTAAAAATATTAATGAACCTATTTAAATTATCTCAATTTAACTGAAAATATAGTCAACATCAATAAATATAAACCAAACATATAAAATATCTTTTAGGATCCTCAACATTTTTTTTTAATGTAAAAGGGGCTGGAAACCGAAATGCTTGAAAACAGTTCCTGAAGGTGAAAGAGTAGTATACATTTTAATACTTACGCATATGTATAAAACTAACTTTGCATTTGTGAACATATGGTACCTTAATGTATCAATACATATATATTTTATGGGAAGGAAAAGTTTATGACACTGTATTTGGTATTTTTATCTCGCTTTCTTGCTGCATCTGACCAGAAAAAAAGCAAACTAATAGAGCCTGTTCTCTGGTAGCCACGTGTCCTGGGTTTTCCAGGATAGTCTTAACATCAAATGTGTTTCCAATTTTTCCCATCAACCACAAAAATGTTCCTTATATTTCAACATTTTTGTGTCCAAATCCATCTCCCAACCTGATCTCACACAGAGGAAGAATCATAAAACATCCTTCTGTTGTGCTGTCTGTAATTATATTTAAATATTTCAGTGCAGTGCATGTAACAAATGCCCATAGGATGGTTCTGACCCTCATCCTAGGAGTGGTGGGTTACTCCAGCTCAGAACATGCCCCAGAGGTGCTTTCTGAGTGTGTGAAAGCCTTCCCAGGGAGGCTTACACTCCAGAGTCAGTGTACTCCAAATTTTACTTGTTATAAACAACAAAGGATTTGTTAATTAGTGAAATGGATGTTAAAAACTATTTCTCATGGGTAAACATGAATTTTGTCAGATGTCAAGTGGTTAGAAATACTATAGGGTAATCCTGCCCTTAATTAAATGGATCTACAAACCAATAATGTCCAATGCTTCAACCCCTTAGCATCAGTACCCTAAGCTTAGGACTTTGATGACAAAGAATAACCAAGAGTCAATTATGCTGTTTGAACAACTTCCCTTTCTGCTTCAACTAGACATCTCATGCACAGAACTATTACAGTACCTTAAGGACAGACAGCAGGCACCTCACAAAGATTACAGAAGAGTCATACGACTGGACCCTGTTCATTAATAAGGGTTTTCTTCTGAGGCAGAATTCACTGCAAGATTTGCTTTGGTAATTACATACCACCTGATAATAAAGCCTTTGAAAAAAAAACCAACAACCCCTACCTTGCCATCTATTATACTACCCATGCCTGTCCAAAAGAAACAAAGAATTATAGTCCATCAAATTGGTTTAGGAGCATTAGCAAAACCTCTTTCAGACCATCTGGGCCTCAGAAATACCTATTCCTTCTTATCCAGCACTGTCATCTAACCACTAAGAACCGCCTAGAAAGGGCTCAAAAGCTGCAGGAATTCTGCCTTGCAAAATCAATATCTTCAGTAATGACAAATGCCAGATTGGTGTTTGTATTGGATGAAAACTGGATGAAATTCAGAATCTAACTACCTCTTCTTGTAAGAAAAGTATTTAAGGGAACAAACATTAGTCAACCACTTACATATGCTATAAACTGAATCCAATACCATAAAAGTTGGCAATGCATAACCATTAAGATAGTTCTATTTACAACTGAAGAAAGCAGAGAGGGAACAGAAAGCAGAGGCAGAATGGGAGAAAGCCAACCAAGAAGAATATACAGCTTCCAAAATTCAGACCACATTAAGGTGCTGTGTCATGATTTTCTTTGAGGTAAAAAGTTAGAAAACGCCTGGGTAACAAGAGCGAAACTCCGTCTCAAAAAAACAAAAACAAACAAAAAGTTAGAAAACACAGGATCCAAAGTAAAATATCAATTATCTGCTTTGGCTTTCTTAAGCACAAAGATAACCTAAATAAACCAAATACCTATATGATAGAATATTACATAATAACCATGCTATCAAAGAATACCTAATGACAATGGAAAACGTTCACCATATTTCATTCTCTCAAACTCCATGTGAGGGATCAAAGGTGTCATATTGTTTTCCTCTGGCTATCTGGTTTTCTCACATTTCCCATCTCTCACATATAATCCCTGTTGCTATTTTATCCTTCTAGCATTGTTCTCTACATATTCAAATATAGATATGTGCTACATAACTACAGGTAGACATAGATATAGATGACAGAGATAAACATTTAAGACTTGTGCTTTTCAATTTCATGCATAGTTTGTTTGAGGAATTATAACAACGAATAAAGTTGGCTCATATCAACACTGTTTTTGCATTACATTAAAAATGAAATCCCCATGGAAATGATACATTTTTAGTCTCCAGTCTCCTTAAATCTGGCTTCCAACAAGATCATCTATAAAAATAGAATACTGCTTGTCCATATCAGCTTGATTAGACAAGTCTTTAATTAAGGCAATACCTTTTGGGACATAGGCAGGGGCAAAGATTTCAAGATAAAGACACGTTGCAACAAAAACAAAAACTGACAAATGGGAATCTAATTAAACTAAAGAGCCTCTGCACAGCAAAATAATCTATCAACAGAGTGAACAAGCAATCTACAAAACAGGAAAAAATTTTTGCAATCCATGCATCTGACAAAGATCTAATATCCAGCATCTATAAGAAACTTAGATAAATTTACAAGAAAAAAAGCAATCCCATTTAGAGGTGGGCAAAGGACATAAACAGACACTTCTTAAAAGAAAACATACACGCAGCCAACAAACACGAAAAACAGCTCAACATCACTGATCATTAGAGAAATGCAAATTAAGACTACAATGAGATTACCATCTCATACCAGTCAGAACGGCTATTATTAAAAAGTCAAAAAGCAACAGATGCTGGCAAGATTGTGGAGAAAAAGGAACACTTTTACACTGTTGGTGGTAGTACAAATTAGTTCAACCATTGTGGAAGACAAGCAATTCCTCAAAGACCTAGGGGCATAAATACCATTCAACCCAGCAATCCCATTCCTTTATACCCAAAGGAATTTGTAAATCGTTCCGTTATAAAAACACATGCACACATGCTCATTGCAACATTATTTACAATAGCAAAGACATGGAATCAACCTCAATGCCCATCAATGATAGACTGAATAAAGAAAACGAGGCACATATACATGATGAAATACTATACAGCCATAAAAAGGAATGATATCATGTCTTTTGCAGGGACATGGATGGAGCTGGAGGCCATTATCCTTAGCAAACAAACACAGGAACAGAAAATCAATTACCACATGTTCTCAGTTATAAGTAGGAGCTAAATGATGAGAACACATGGATACATGGGCAGAACAATACACATTGGGGCCTGTTGGAGGGCAGGGGTGGGAGGAGGGAGAGAATCAAGAAGAAAAACTAGTGGATGCTGGGATTAACACCTGGGTGATGGGATAATCTGGGCAGCAAACCACCATGGCAAACATTTACCTATGTAACAAACCTGTGCATCCTGCACACATATCCCTGAACTTACAATAAGAACTGGAAATAAAAATTAAAAAAATAAAAATAAATAAAACTAGATTATCTAACTGTAACAAAAAAGTAATTAAGCATCTTCCATGAGCTGGGTATTTTGATAGGCCCAGGAGAAACAAAGTTTCCTTCCAATAAAATTATGCAAATCTCTGAATTCTTAGTATACCATTTAGAACTGGGCAGCATGCCTTTCTAAAATCTTGCAGTCTATGAAACAAAAATAAGAAAACTGGGAAGCCAGATTCTCAAATCAAATTGTTTGATCTGGAGCTGCAACCAAGTCTAGAATGCACTGGATACACAGCAATGAGAGATAGAGGTAAAGAAATGAGCAACTGGTGAAGTGGATACCTTTGCTGGATACTAAAAATGACCAGAATCAAGCAAACATTTCTTCCCAAAAAGAGCAAGGCAATATCAGCAGCATTTTATTTTTACAAACCCCAAACGAAAATGATTTCAAAACATTTCACTAACACAGGTGATTAAAACCCTATTTTAGGCTTCACATAAAGTAAGATCTGCTGGAAGAGTCCAGCCAAAACTACACTTGCTACCCATTTGTTTCTGGTTTAGACTGTTTCAATGCTAAATTAGCAGCTGGCTTAGTGATTCCGGGTTATACGGGTTCAGGTTTCAGAAATACACAGTTCTGATTTAAGTTAAATTTCCTATTTGCACATAACTTCCCTGACCTTTAAGTTTCCAAACTGTATTTGTGCAAATTAGGCACAAATTCTAAGCTCTGCTGACTCAAATATATTATGACTAGAAAGTTAAGGGAAAGATAAACATACAAAGCCAAAGAAAGAAGCAGTTCTACAGTTGAAAAGAAGCCTACAAAGACGGGATCAATTGAAATAACTCACTCTGCATCTGTTCTGAATAGTTTCACCTCATCCTCTTTCGACACTAGAATCCAGTCATCTTGGCTGTTCCTACCATTGCCTTCAGCCTATCACGCTCAAAGAGTTCACCATGAGGGTTGGCCAACTTGGAGAGTCTTTCAATCTGCCAGGGCCAAACCTAAGAGGGCAGCAAGTCAGGAAAAGCACATGCTGGCATCACATAACAGAATGCATTTCAAAGTTACAGGGCAAAATACAAGATAACCTTAGCCAAAGATAATTTATCTAAACCTGACATCAGAACTGGACACTACATCTACTGTTTTTAAATAAATTTTCCAATGAAGGCTCTTCATCAGAACCAATAAATACATTGACTTTGATGTTCTTTCACTAGGCAATCATGGTTGCTTATGTACTACTTACTCCAATTGATTAAAAATCATCTTAAGTTATTACAGTTTCCAAAGTTTTATTTGAGAGCTACTCATAAAAATATTTTCCTGAAATACATTTCTGAAGTCAGGAAACAACAGATGCTAGAGAGGATGTGGAGAAATAGCAACACTTTTACACTGTTGGTGGGATATAAATTAGTTCAACCATTGTGGAAGACAGTGTAGCAATTCCTCAAAGATCTAGAACCTGAAATACCATTTGACCTAGCAATCCCATTACTGGGGTATAAACCCAAATGATAATAAATCATTCTACTACAAAGATACATGCACATGTATGTTTACTGCAGCACTGTTCATAATAGCAAAGACTTGGAACCAACCCAAATGTCCATCAATGATAGACTGGATAAAGAAAATGTGGCACATACACACCATGGAATAGTATACAGCCACTATTCCATGAAAAAAGGATGAAAAAAGGAAAAAAGGATGAGTTCATGTTTTTTGCAGGGACATGGATGAAGCTGGAAACCAGCATTCTTAGCAAACTAACACAGGAACAGAAAACCAAACACCGCATGTGCTCACTCATAAGTGGGTATTGAACAATGAGAACCCATGAACACAGGGAGGGGAACATCACACACGGAGCCTGTTGGGGGCTGGGGAGGCTAGGGGAGGGACAGCATTAGGAGAAATACCTAATGTAGATGATAGGTTGATGGGTGCAGCAAACCACCATGGCATATGTATACCTATGTAACAAACCTGCATGTTCTGCACATGTATCCCAGAACTTAAAGTATAATTTTTAAAAAAGACATTCCATTTCAATTGCATGTTTAAATGTCACGGCATGTACACATATATCTTGTGAAGAGATGAACTCCAACAAGAAGAAAAATGTAACACTGTATAAAGAGTTTTGAGACTGAAGAACTTCCAGGAAACTGTGTAGAGGAACACTGAGTCCTACCATCTCCAAATGAATATTATTAGATGTATAAACTGTATTCTATATGTAACTTATTTAACTTGAAGTGCTGTTTTCTCCCTTTCAATGTAACTTTTAAATATACACAAACAGCATTTCTACTGTACTTTCATCAAACCTGTCCAGGTCCATTTCCCTTCTCCCTTTGGAGAAGGGAAAAATTAGAAGAGCCAAACCGAAAATTCTTAGGGCTAACCCTAAAAAGCGGAATGTCTTGATTTATCTTTTTACAAAAATCTTTTCTTAGAAACACAAAAGGTAAACTAGCGAAAGCCTGAGAAGTAGCTACTTCCAAACAAACTCCATGGCAAGCCAAGAGGCCAGTGGCTTTGGGGCCAAATTCATCTTCCTTAGAGAGGCCTTGGTAATTTCATATAGTTCTTACGAAAGGTGTTCAGATGTGATTCTTGCTTTCTTTCTTCTAATAATCCACTGAGTTGAGAGAAGGCGAAGGGGAGAAGGGAGTGGAGCACAGGAGTAGGAAAAATTGTTAAGACGTCCAATACAAACACTGAACACAAAAACCAATCCTTACCTAAAATCCCTGGCTGGATGTTTGGGGTTGAAAAGCCTCCTTGGAGTGGATGTGGTGTGCTGATGTGGGCGTTCTGGGCACTAGTTTCTCTTGTATTCTGTTTTTGCTGGCCAACAACCCCTCTTCCTTTCCTTTCATTCTTGCCAGAAGGAGTTCTCAGTTTAATCTTTGAGGTGAAGAGATAACCCACTGGAACATTAAAATAAGTGCTACATAATACAGAATTAGCTTTAGAAGCCCATGGAACAAATGTGACCCAGGTTTAGAGTGTGGTGCTCTCAAGGAGAACTCCTGTCTGAAAGGAGCAAACCAAATGTTGCTTACTCAAAGGCATTCCCAAGCCAGCCGCTTCCTATCAAATCCTAGGCCTCTACTCAGCATCTGTCAGTCAGGATGAAAGTAACAAGGATGTCACCAGGGGTCCTGAGGAGAACGAGAAAAAGGAGAGAATGACTTAATTCTGAGTGGTGTGCTCAAGACCCCTGTATCTCCTCATCTAGTTCTTAGAAAAGCTCTCCTAGACACTGACACAGTTAGCACCATTGACTGTACAGATGAGGAAATCAAGGTAAACTACCTAACGTCAGATGGCCAGGAAGTTGTTGGAAGTAGAATGCCACTGACCACAAAATTATCACTCCAGGAGAGAGGATTTTAACTGTTTTCTTCTTTCTGATTCCTTCCCCATTCTCCCTTGAGCATTTTGATCACATATACCTCCCAGTCTTCTCCAAATATACCACGCCCTTTCCAACATTGAAGCCTCTGCACTTACAGGTCCCTTTGTAAGTAAGTCCCTTAAGACACTTACTTTAGAATCAGATGATGTCACTGCCTTCCCTGGTTATTCACACTTCCAAGCACAAACGATCAGGGGGTCTCTAGATACAAGGAACTTCATAAATGCTATATTATAAGTAATCTATTAACTATACATATTTAAAGTATTGACTTTAAACTGACAGTGGTGTTCTTAGGTCTTAGTTGGCTATGCAGTTATGGACACAACATTCAGTAGAGGCTCAAAAAAGCATGCTGAACTATTAAAGTCAAATAAGCCAATTGGGGGGGTTGGAAATATATATATTTTTTTTTCTGGGCAATGTGCTATATATATATACGCATATATCCTAAAAGATGACAAATCACTCACTGTCTTTTCTTTCTCTTCATAACTTCCCTAAAGGAAGAAAAAAATAGTCCAAATAATTTTTGAGAGCTTATGGGAAAGGCTGATTAATAAGATGTGCACTAAAACCTCAGCTCTGGGGAATAGACCACCATAAAAAAACTAAAGTTTGTATCTTTAAGCAAAACAACAACAAAATGTAAGTTAACCATTAAGCATAGAGAGCTTTCTGTGACATTTGAGAATACTTTTTCCCCATCTTTCCTAAATCACAAGAGACATGGTCTAACCCATCACCATGCCCATGAATTACAATGCTGCAGGCATCCAAAGGTGTTCACAGCTGCCGCTACCTCTCTACCTTCTATTGCCAGACTATAATCAGTTTTTACTTTTTATACCTTTTTATTATTTTCCCATCAGGTTTCAACTGTGCTCTATACTGATAATGTCAGAGAGTAGGTGGCCTAAATATACCTTCTCCAAGCCTCTAAAGTGCCACTTCTAGTTAGCTGTGGACTTAAACACCAGGTAAGCAAGCTCGCTGAAATTGTGAAAAATGTAAGAATACAAACAAGTTCCAAGTGAGGGCCTCTCTCACAAATACATCCTAAGATAAGGGATACAAACATGAAAAAATGTTCAACATTGCTAATGAACAGGGAAATGCAAATCAAAACCATGATGTGATACTATCTTACTCCTGCAAAAATGGCCACAGTCAAAAAATTATAAAAATAATAGATGCTGGCAGGCATATGGTGAAAAGAGAACACTTTTACACTGCTGGTGGGAATTTAAATTAGCACAACCACTAGGGAAAACAGTGTGGAGATTCCTTAAAGATCTAAAAGTAGAACTACCATCTGATCCAGAGGAAAAAAGTCATTATACAAAAAAGATACTTGCACACTCATGTTTATAGCAGCACAATTCACAAATGCAAAACTATGGAACCAGCCCAAATGTCCATCAATGAGTGGATAAAGAAATTGTGGTATACATATGTGTGTGCACACGTGTGTGTGTGTGTGTATTAATATATACACATATATAGACACGCACCATTGAATACTACTCAGCCATAAAAAGGAACGAAAAAATGGCATTTGTAGCAACCTGGATAAAATTGGAGATCACTTTTCTGAGTGAAGTAACTCAGGAATGGAAAACCAAACATCATGTGAGGAAGCAAAGGCGTAAGAATGAAACAATGGACTTTGGAGACTGGGGGGAAAGATGGAATGGGGGTGAGGGATAAGAAACTACAAACTGGGTACAGTGTATATTGTTTGGGAGATGGGTGCACCAAAATTTCCAAAATCACCACTAAAGAACTTATTCATGTAACCAAACACCACCTGTTCCCCCAAAACCTATGGAAATAAAGGATTTTTTAAAAACATATTGACCTTTAAAAAGTATATATATATATATTTGCCCTGAATACTGACTGGGCCAGTCTTACCCTGCAACCAGTCCTCTTCTTCTTCCTTCACAGATCAAAGACGCTAGCAAAGACATCTCAGAGACTCTGAGAACACTCATCAGCTTTACAGCTTGAAGCAAAGAGAGATCTACTTAATATGACAAAGGGTTTCCAGTTAAGTATTTTGGCTTTCCATTATATTTAGTACTGTCTGCCCATACATCAGGGGGCAAGGGGACACGGTAGTATCCAGCTGCTGTGAAGGATGAGGGATGGTCTGCTCTCTGACTCAGAGGATTATTGCCCTTTTTGCTAAACCCCCAAGGGATAGGATACACAGAGGCAGAGAATTTTGGCAGATTTGACTGACCAGCTCCCCTGAGGACTGGATGAAAAGAAGCTCTGCTCAGCATCTGTTCAACATTCCAAAAACTCCTGCAATCCTTGACTGCAAGTCTTTAGAGATGAGGGTCTAGGCCTGGCTTATTCACACTGTGTTCCTCAGCGCACAGACTTAACAGATGCGAAATAATTATGTAATGGCTAATTGATATCGGTCTTTCACATGTGCCTACTTGCTTAAATAGCATAAATGAAGCATAAAAGCTAATAAAATCCTAAATATGAAATCCATCTTTCTATCAATTTGCAAATGTACAATTTTTTTCACTGATATAAACAGTCAGAATATTCACATGATACCCAGGAGATGAATCAGTGAGTCCAAAAAGTGTTGGAAGGTTTGGCTTACAATAAAAGTTTCTTTGACAATTAGATTAGTTGAAGCAAAAAATTTAAGTAGGTGAATCAAGTAAGAATTTAAAAACAGGGGACGTCATATTCTTGAGTAATTGCTTCTTTCCTATTCCTCTTTAATACCAATATTATGTAACATGAAAAGGACAACATTATCCTTAAAAGTTCACTATTTAATAAATATTCTTAACTTATTGCTAAAATAAATAAATAATGGATTATTCCTAAAGGTGTCCCATTTTATAGATTTTTCTCAAATAAATAGTCAGAACCATGTATAACCATATTTACCAAATTCATATCGAATGGTTTTCATAACCTGTTTTATAAAGCAGTGGGGCATCCCAAAAGACTAGTTGGGACTATAAGTGAAAGGCCAGTGATTCCTCTGGATGAGGGTACACTGACCTCCATAAAAATGAACAAGGGGCAATTAAACAGATAATAGTTGTCTCTACCCATGTCCAGGGAGAAATGGTAGAAAACAGCATAATGTCATATTATCATGAAGTTCAAAAATATCAAACTCTTCCTCACTGAGTGACAAGTAGCAGCTTACAGTGATCTCACTGCTTATCAGGTTCTTAATCCATAAAATGGGTTCTTCATTCATAAAATGCCACCTATACTGCTGATGATTTGAGATCATCAATATTAACTGCTTGCCATCTGTAAAGCTAAGGACAGCCCCACTGGTTCAGACACCATGATCAGCAAGCACTTCAAGGCTAACTCAAAAAGCCAAAACCACTTTCTCATTTATGGATTGATTTAAAGCCATGGAAAATAAACAGTAAGTGAGTTGTGAAAGATTTTCCTTCAAAACCATTTAATTTTTTAAACAGTCAACAAAGAGAAAAGGAAAAAGAAGACTAACTAAACATGACTCAAAATTACTATGTTGTATGTAAATTTATAGCAAAAATATAAAGTTAAAACAAAAAATATTTTAAGATTAGCTTAACATACAGTATTCAGCTTTCACTCTCCTTAAACTTTGATCATATATTTATCACAAGATAGCACAAGAGTTTTATTTTTCTACTTGAATGACAAAAGTTGCACATAATAAAATATGGCATAGGATACTATTAGCAATTAAATATATGTGTTTGGGTAACGAAATATGCAATCTACTTCTCATGGCAAACAGAAAAACTGGCAATTTTTATCAAGAAATTTCAGTCACCTAATCACATTGCTACAAATGTTATCACTTATAAAATTGCAATCCAAAGAAAACGTATTTGTTGTTGCTAAGAGACATGAAAGGAAACTGAAACACCCCTTTGTCTCTGATTTTAAAAGTTCATGTAGTCAAAAGCAGAGAATACGTCATTATCAATGGCTGGGTAAAGATGCTCAGTACTAGCCTCTTCCACAAAGAACCACAACAACAAAGAGATAATTGCACTCCCAGTAGAACGTCTAAGAGAACACTGGAAGTTAGCAAGGAAGTGACAAAGAGCCTCTAGACACAAAAACTCAGGATAGCATCAGAGAGAAGGAAGTAAAGCATCCAGCAAGGATTGGCTAGAACAAAGAGGAACTATCTTTTGTGGATAATAGGCAAGAGGCAGCCTCCATTGCCACCACGGATGCCTGCAATCCTTGCTATAGGAAAACCCCACAGTCCTCACAGAGGGCTAAGTGGAGTACACTTCAGAGTATAGAGAGCTTCCTAAAGTTAACATGGCTGCATTGCTCCAGAGAGAAGGTTCATGCTGGTTCTCCCCTAACACCCAGGACTCAGGCTACTGTGGCACAGGGCCATATTGAGAGAGGAGCTACTACCAGAGTGCATCTTTCCCTGGGGCCTAATATCCCCACACTTCCATATCCCTGTGACCCCTCCACCATCCCACCATGCCTATAGAGAAGGCTGCAGCATAATGATACACCTGAACCCAGTGGTATAGCAGTGACTCAATCATGCAAGCCCATATAGCAACCTATAAACCAAGAAATAGTGAGTGGCCCAGCATAGAGAGGAGACTGTCCTAGCAGAGCATATAAGCTCCCAAGGCCCTGAGAGTCAGCCTGCCTGGCAGGCCCCGCACCAAAAAAGCTGTGCCACTGCCTATACAAACACCCATAGCCTAGGCCACTGAGGTACTTGCAGACATGGCTGACACTGAGTACAGCCACAGAAAGCACACAAAGACAATACAATTCCAACTCAGCACCCTACAAAACCAGCACTATAGGACACATATTCAGAAAAAAACAAAAATTATCCCTACAAAAACTACATTAAATCAAAAGCAGTGATCCTTCCACCAGATTCATAGATATTAACGTAAGAACACAAGAGAGGTGAAAAATCAAAGAGTATGATACCTCCAAAGGAAAACAACTATTCTCCAGTAACTGACACAAGAAAATGAAATTTATAAAATGTCTGAAAAGGAATTGAAAATGACGATCCTAAGAAAACTCAGCAAGATAGACAATTCAATGAAAACAAAACCAATTCATGATCTAAATGAGAAATTCATCACAGGTAGATATAAAAAATAACAAAACAAATCTTGAGCTAAAGAATTCAATGAATGAAATTAGAAAACAAAATTAAGAGCTTCAACAATAGACTAGATTAAGCAGATGAGGTTGATTTTTCTAGGAAGAATTTCTAAAGATAAAAATTGATCTTCTGAAATAAAATCAAACAAAATTTTAAGAAGAATAAAAATGAATAGAGAAAGCCAATAAGATTACAGTACACTAATAAGTGAATATATTTTTGCATTATAGGAATTCAACAAACAAATGGAAAAAGGCTCTGAAAACATATTTAATGAAATAATACCTGAAAACATCCCAAGTCATGGAAAAGGTATGATAGCTCAAAAATCCCTAAGTAAATTTAATTCAAAATAGTTCTCTCCAAGGCACATTACTGCAAACTGTCAAAGTCAAAAACAAAAAAAAATAATTTTCAAAACAGCAAGAGAAAACCATGAAGTCACATACGAGGGACTCCCCATCATACTAACAGCAAATTTATCAGCAGAATACGTTACCAGCACAAAGAAAATGGACTAATATATTGGAAATGCTGACAGAAAACTGCTAGCAAAGAACACTCTACACAGCAAAAATACTCTTCAGAAATGAAAAAATGAAGTCTTTTCTAGCAAGTAAAAACTGAAGAAATCCATCGCCACTAGAGCAACATTTTAAGAAAGCCTTGTGGGAGTCTTACAACTGGAAGTAAAAGCACAAAAATTAACATAGTGAAAGCATAAAATTAACTGGCAGAGCAGATACATATGAGGATGAAAAATGAATCAAACCTTATTACTACTGAAAACCACCAAAGATAAACAAGAGAGAAGGAAAAGAACAAAGGATACACAAAACAACCAGAAAACAACAACATAACAGGAGTGAGCTCGACATTCCTTCATGATAAAAATTCTCAACAAATTAGGCATAGAAGGAATTTACCTCAACACAATAAAGGCCATATATGACAACCCCACAGCTAACATCATACCGAACAAGGGAAATGTGAAAGTCTTTTTTCTAAGAATTGGAACAAGAAAAGGATATCCACTTTTACCACTCACATTCCCATAGTACTGGAAGGCTTAGCCAGAACAATTAGGCAACAGAAAGAAATAAAAAGAGTTGGTGGAGACTTTAGAAAAACCTAAAGTCTCCACCAACTCTTAGAACTGATAAATGAATTTAACAAAGCTGTAGGACACAAAATCAAACTACAAAATGTGGTAGCATTTCCACAAAGCAATAATGAAACAGCTGAGAAACTATTCAATTAAGCAGTCTCATTTATAATACCTACCAAAAAAACTCAAATGCCTAGAAATAAATTTGACCAAGGAGGAGAAAAAGCTCTACAATAAAAACTAGAAATAACTTCTGAAAGAAATTGAAGACAATACAAAAAAATTGAAGGATATTCTATGTTCATAGACTGGAAAAGTTAATGTTGTGAATATGACTATATTAAAGTAATCTACACATTTCATGTAATCCCTCTGTGCTAATGACATTATTCAAAGAAATAGGAAAAAAAATAACCCTCCAAATTTGTATAAAACCACAATATACCTAAAATAGCCAAAGCAATTTTGCACAAAAAGAACAAAGCTGGCAGCACAACACAACCTGACTTCAGTAAATATTACAAAGCTACAGTAAATAAAACAGTATGCCACTGGCACAAAAAAGGACACAGACCAATGGAACAGAATACAGAATTCAGAAATAAATCCACTTATTTACATCCAACTGATTTTCAACAAGGGAGCAAAGAACTTACATTGGGGAAAGGACAGTATCTTCAATAAATGGGACTGGTAAAACCAAATATTCATATGCATAAGAATGAAACTAAACCCCCATCCCTCACTGTATACAAAAATTAATACAAAATGGATTAAGGACTTAAATATAAGATGCAAAAATACAGAATTACTAGAAGAAAACACAGAGGAAATGCTTTAGAACACTGATCTGGGAAAACATTTTATGAGTATAACCTCAAAAGTGCAAGCAACAAAAGCAAAAACAAAAACAAAAGACAAATGGGATTACATCAAACTAAAAATCTTCCACATAGCAAAGAGAACAATCAAGAGAGTAAAGAAACAACCTACAGAATGGGAAAAAATATTTGCAAACTCTTCATTTGATGCGAGATCTATATCCAGAATACATGAGGAACTCAACTCAAAAGAAAAAACTAATAATCTAATTTAAAAATAGGAAAATGAACTGAATAAACATTCTCAAAAGAGGACATATAAACAGGCAAGATATATATGAAAAAATGTTCAATACCACTAAATCATTAGGAAAATGCACTTCAACACCACAATGAGATATCATCTCACTCCATTTAAACTTACCAAAAAATACATGCTGATGAACATGCAGAGAAAAGGAAACTTTTATATGCTGTTGGTGGAAATGCAAATAAACACAATCATTACAGAGAGCATGGTGATCCCTCACAACACTATGCTACCATATGATCCAGCAATCCCACTGCTGGGTATCTATCCAAAGGAAAGTAAATCAGTATATCAAAGAGAGATCTGTACCCCATGTTTATTGCAGCACTATTTACAATAGCCAATATATGAAAGCAACCTAAGTGCCCAGCAATGATCAATGGATAA